ACCCTGTACTTGGGATAATTTATGGATGAACAACACAAAGAACAATATCCAGATATTATGATATCATCAAGACAACAATAATCTAGTAAGCAAATACATTTGTATGTACCGGTAATATAAGTTGATTGACCAAGGTTGATCACAAAATCTTTTATTCTCATTTATATAATCACATAATTCTACTTTTTCGTCAAATAAATTTTATTTCTTTATTATTACATTTCAATTTTACTACTTGATAATACACAGTATTTGAGAGCCAGATCTGTCTAAGTGTCTTTGGTTTATACAGAATATTTTTTAGTTTGATTGTGTAGAAAGCTTACGAACACACTTTTGAATACATTCCTCGAACCAACCAGTACTGCAGCAATGAGTGTAAAGTTTAATATTAAAGGAAACAACAATTTGCTCCTGACGGGGTTTGAACCCATGCAGGTAGCGATCATTACTAGTCGGACATGTTCACAACACAGCCATGCGGTCGCTTATTGAATGAAGTCTTTGGCATCCAATCACACTTTTCACCACTGACTATTCAATAATACTGAAGGAATTAGCAGAGACGCAAAAACTGCATCTCTTTTAATTAAACATCATTTACTTTCATTTAAAACAAATAGAGTTTGATATTTGACAACTGTTATCAGTAATTACTTGAACATTGTTTCTCAATTTTCTCCCAATTGATTTTCAAATTAAGCAAGCTTCTGTCTACATAGAGCATCAATCATAATCATTGAGAGGCTTGTCGCAGTTAACCAGAATCTATTGCCCAGAAGTTAGGCACTTTTCAAAAAATATTTTATTGATCTGTACACTGTTCATCAAATTAAATAACAATAAAAGATAATATATTTGGTATGGGGTTGTCAATAATTTGCTTTAATTTCTGAGAAGATATAGAACGATAATATTTATTTTCTTATATATATATATTTTGTGTGAGGATTATACTGATCACAACAAAATTTCAGCATTCTAGTTTCATTGGTGGAGTATCATGCCTCTCATTGCATTATTTAAAGCAACAGCAGTGGTAGTCTCTCCTAGTGGCACTCTCCAAGTAAAATTTCAACATTCTAATTTCAGTGGTGGAGTCCTCAGGTGCCCCTATATACATTATTTCAACCAACAGCCAGCCCCCTCCTAATTACAACATCTTATATCTAAAACTTTAATTACATTAATAGAATGAGTTTCAATGACCTGTTGTATTTATATTCTATTGCTTTACAGGCAAAAAAGTGTATTTAACCAATCATTTCATGCAAGCAGCAACTTTCTCGCACTAGGTTTATGAAAGCACGATATAACATCTCAGTAAAACTTTTAAATAAAAAATACAAAACAACCCAACAACCTAATAATACATAATTTATGATTCCTATATCCATCATAAATCTATTAATCTTTTTTATTTTTTTTACTTTATTACACTTGAGCAGAAAATAGAAAAATGATTTTTTCTCCCCTTCTATAAAATACAGATACAGTGAAATCTTTATAGAAATCTGAAAAGCTATGGATCTGTTATTTTCATGCCTTTTTCCCCCAGAACAATCATGTCTTCTATACTACACTATCCATCTCTCCCATCAGCAATATTTCTTGATTTGTTGATGAAGAATCATTACACAATTAATGAGACACAGTTAGCTTAAATGCAAAATTCATTAGATCAACTTCTAGAAAGATAATGTTTCTATTGATGGCAAACATTTGTCCAATTTTGTTAATTAATTTCGTGGAAGGGAGAAAATTGATAGTCTATAAATCATAATGTCTGGAGGAGCTTTTCTTTTCAAGTGCAGCCTTTAGGTTCATTATCTAAAGTTGGGGACTACAGATCTGTACTTCAAATCTAGGATAACTTGTCAGTCCGTCCAGATTATAATTATCAGGCTTCATATTTTTTTAATCTTAAATTGATTTTCATATCTTTTGTATGTACATATTTCTTATAGCGAGTTATTGATAATTGTACTTATATTCTGTGAGATTTCAGACTTCAATTACTTACTTTGGACCCAACTAGCCATGAGATTTTGGTCTATTTTTGTTTTTTCTTTAAATTCAGTGTCACAGCAACACTGTGAAAGTCATGTCATATTCAATGTTCTTGCCTACAATTATTTCTAAAATATCAACTTAATTTCTGGTTATATGTTAATAAATCAACAACAAATTTAATTGGTCAGATTGTGCCACTTAATGTATTGTATCACTGGTCTATATAATTTCTAAGTATTAAATTCTTGAGTTGTAGAATGTAATTTCATCTCCAGAACAAAAAAAAGAAAGATTTATGCCCTTAATGAAATTACAGGGTTGCCAGCACTTTGGTGAAATAAAATTCCCTGACTTTTCCCTGACTTTTCACTGACCAAATCATGTTTTTCACTGACCAAAATCGTCAAACACATAAACCCCTATAGCCGTCCAATCCTCCCATTATATTTTTGCATGTTGACTTGTATTTATTTTCCAAAATATAAAACATTTACATCAAAGTAATGATTCAAACATTGTGTTCTACTATTCTTAACTATTTCTATTCAAACACAGTGTAACTGTTGGTCAGTGAAACATATGACATGAAAATCAGAAGAATCATAATATAAGCATCTGTATTAGAAATCACATAAGTCACTTTTTCCTTCCTAGGAGTAACATATAAAACACCAAGACTATAAGAGTAATACTTGTATGACAAAACTTAAAATTCAAACATCTCTAAACTATAAGAACAATAAACATTTAACACAGTTACTTGTATAAGGCATCATGATAAACTCCACTGATTGTGAAAACAAGAACAAAGGGCTCATTTTGGCATATCATGAAATAATCACTATAAAATTAAAGACTTTGAATGAGTGAAGTAAGTTAGTGTAAAAAAAAGTTAGTGTGAAAAACATAGCATTGCATAATTTAACCAGTTTTCATCATGTTTGCAAGACAAATCCTCATGTACAATTTCTAAATGTCAAAGCAAAAAGCAAAGAAGGGCTTTTAATTACTAACAAAATCTAGTCAGTATACATGTATACCAAAGTACCATATTGGCATATAACCTGCTTTGCTTTTTGCTTAGACAAGAGGATTTGTCTTGCAAACATGATGGCAACTGGTTAAATTATGCAACAGAAATTACGTATAAGTCAGCTCTGGAGGCAATGGTTGCAAAGCCTTTCAGTCTTTAGGCTGAATGATGTTCTAAGGTAAATAATGGGTATTATAATCACTAAGTTAACATATCATACTTCTTAATATCACAGTTTACTATTATTTGAATTTAATGCTTAACTGTGAGAATGATAAAGTCAAATATTAAATGCCTAAAGACTGCCATAGCCAAGAAAGACCTTCAATGCATATGTTTTTCGACCTTTGAAATAATTTTTCCCTGACTTTTCACTGACTTTTCAGGATTTTCATTTTTCACTGACCAAATTTCAAAATTCCCTGACAATTCCCTGACCTTGAAAAAATACCCAATTTCCCTGACTTTTCAAGTCCGCTGGCAACCCTGAATTAAGCTAAAAAAAAAATAAAGTTAAAATTAATGTTACAATGCTACAATTTTCAGACATACATTTAAGTAAGTCACTGTGATATCTTTTAGATGCTGGTAAGTAATTATCTCAGTACATTAAACCAATCATCGCACTGTAATTTCTTCCTCGATTCCTTTTTTTCTCTCCCTGCTATATTTCACTGTGCCAATTTTCACCAAGAAAAAGCAAAAAATTGTCAAGAAATAAACTTCCAATTTATTTTCAATAATCTACACCCCTAAATCTGCATAACAAATTTTCTAGAGGGAAAATTACATTACGATAAATGAATATTTAATTGCTGTAATGGAGATGTGATTAATTAAAAGCAATTATTAGGACTACAAGATGTTTACATGCCTGTAGAATTCTACTTCTATCTTGTCTTAAAACATTTTTTTTTCTAATCTTTCGCAACCAAAAACATCTGTTTTCAGACATATTGCTTCTATATTTACCAAAAAGCTTTCAAAAGTCTATTAAGAAAACTAATTCTATATTTCCTACAAATTGCTTGAAAAAAACTTTATTATATAACGTTATTATATAATGTAAAATTTCTGAAGTGAATGGCCTCTGGGAAGAATGCATTACAGATGATGACCATGGGTTTTTTCTCAAATGGTTTAAATTTGGAAACAAAAATTGTATTGATATTTATTAAGGAAGATTAAATTTATGACGTTATCTAAATTTTCTATAATTACCTGAACAATAACATTACGATTTTCCTATGTCACAAGCAGAGCCATGTCCGTCTGAAAAACTCTATATATAAAGTGTGAAAGGACTTGCTTACCTAACCATGCAAATATCATTAAAATTAACTTGTCCATCATTCAATCTGGGCAAAAACCATCTATCATTTGCAGGTTAATTTTCAAAATATGTTCCAACTGACCAGCAAACAGTGTAGACCATGTTCAGATGGCATAAACGTTCAAGCTGATCTTGGGTCCAGTTGCCATCAACAGGCTATTGGACAATACGGCTTAATTGCAGCTTAATATTACTGTAATCCCTTAATTTAACATGGGGCAGTTTTGTAATTCAAGGCAGCAAATTTCCTTAAAATAATTTATCATCATGAAGCCTGTACATCTTGTGCCTAAAGTAATGTGTATCAATTTTCATTGGGTATTGAGACTGTTTTTTTATTTTTATTTTTCTCTCGGTTGAGTTTTACCATGCAACAACACGGTATAGGTCACATGGTGACTTTCCAGCTTTACTGGTGGAGGAAGACATCAGGTGCTACCGGGCCTCTCTGCATTATTTCAAGCACAACAAGCATTTGGTGGTGCCATTTGACTTAATGCATGGCATCAAATCATATAAAGCAATTCCAGATCCCTAGTTGGACTGAAATTCACGAAAAAACTGAAGCCCCTTTAAGTGTCCTTAATCGTCATTTACAAAGTTATAAGAAAAGGTACTTACTTATTTTCCAGGGAGCACCAGCCACAGTATGGATTGCCAGCTTGTAGACATGAGTTACATGTTGTGTACTGGGAACAGTTATATAACTTCATCTTCATCAACTGAAAATATACAAAACAGAATTTTAGCTACTATCTCAAACTCCTGAATTGTTTAATGGTTTGAACTGTATACCTGCAGTCTTTGTTATAGTTTTTAGTCAAAACAGGAATGTGCCTGACATTTCAGTCTTCATGGTGGTATCTTAATTCTGCATAAACTACTTCAAGTGCTTCTGGTCACTCTTTTACAAAACAATTGTATGCCAACTCAATGAATGACTGACTACTAGTAATTTGAATTCAGGAAAGAAATTCTTAGTTTATCACCATATGAAAAACAGATGAAAACAGACAGAAATGCAGGAAATAAAATTTCAAATCAAAGACCTTATTGTGTTTTGTTTTACTTAATAAGGAAAGAAATTCAGTCTATCACTGTATGAAAAACGGATGAAAACAGACATAAACGCAGGAAATCTGATTTCAAATCAAGGACCTTATTGTTTTTTGTTTCACTAGATAGGAAAGGTCTAATGATTGGGTAAATATAACTGATGATAAACAATCAAAGTTCTCATCATTCTGTATTTGTTATTAATAAAGCACACCATTATAACACAATTATGAATCACTTACTACAATAGCCATGAGTAATTGTTTGCATTGCTGTCATGAAAATTAATTTTAATAGTTTCCATTATAACATAATTAAAAAGAGATTCTGAGTTATACTGATAGAGCAAAATATTCATGTAATATTTGGCTTTTAAGTGTTTGAATGTTCATCATTCTTTATCTATGTACATGGGAAGTACAGGTGCACTTTTAAATGCACTAGAGATTTAATAATACAGCCGTAGGATAACATTGCACCCCTTTACATAGACACCTGGGACTCTATATACTGTTGCTAATGCTTGAAATTATTGAAATCTTTAAATTATGCATTCAAATTCGGTTCAAGATTCACAACATTTTGACTGGTGTGATATTAGCAGAGGTCATCAGTGCAGTCTTTGACTGCCTTGTCTTAGGACTTTGTTCAAGATCCTAAATTTGTATCAAGTCTAATTATTTCCCACTAATTATCTTACATGGACCTCCCATCTTTTGGTCTTGGCAAAACCAATCATCATTTCTAAGGGAAATTTCAAAATATATACAGAGTGAAAAGTGAACAGTGCAGACCATGATCAGACCTCACAGAGGTGCGTGTCTGCACTGGTTCCATTGGTAGAATCTGTTGTCCCCAACAGGCTAAAGGTTAATGCGTTGTTGAATATATTGAATCTTGTACACGATTTCAAAAAGTTTCCATAACGAACAGTATTCAAACATTATGTGCAACATTTCATCAGAAAACAGTTTCACGTTTTTTTAGAAAAACAAATGCATTATGGGAATACATTGACACATAAAAACGCACAACATTTCTCAAAATGTCAAGATCGCTGGCTCATTCATTATTCAAAAACTAAAAGAAACAATTTTCTTCAATAATTCTGCCATCAAACCATTTCTGACTAAGAGATATTTTAAGAAATCAACGTTAAAATGCCATAACATGTTCGGTAAAAATCACAGGGTTGCAACAATATGGCATTTTTCTCTAAAATTTCGGTTTCTCAAATGCAAACTGAAAACTCGTCAACCTAAAATATTGATGATGCACAAATTATAGTATTAAACTTTTATAAAATTCTTGGATGGATTTTTCTTATATATCTGATAAATGATAAATATGTCAATTCTATGAAATATGAACATAGGAATTTTTCAAAAGCAATTATTTTTTATCAGAAATTCTATAATAAATGCCTGTAGCTAATTATTCTAATATGTCAGTTATTTTGAATTTGCATTCTTTGAAGAAAATTCATCCAATGATATCAACCAGAACATATTGGGTACTGGTCTAGTTAATGATAAGGTATCAATGCAATAACCTGTTGTTTCAGATTCATGGAACAATGTTAAATATCATTTAATATTATTCAACATTGAAGTCAGTCTATAATTTTGCTGAAACAATGCAGAAGTCATTTCTAAGTAATATTTATATCAATTATGTTTTAACATTTTTCAGGTTTGCATAAAATATAACCATGATCGTGTGACCTTTTTGCATGCCTTGACTTCATGAGTGATGCAACTGGAGAAGACTGCATACAGAAAGCTATAGGGTAAACACTGCAATATCTTTACGTGCAAAGTTATCAATCATATCAGTGCATTATATGCTGTTATAATCATTTAAAATATGACAAATACAGTGCCCACGGAACATTCGTTAAACAAACGGAGAATCATGTAAACACTGTATTCTAAGATAATAACCTCCAACAATAACCTCGGAAATGTCAATATGTGATCTGAATGATGTAAAGAGGTTAACTCAAATGTTATTACGCTCATTTAAACATGATATATGAGCGATTATCATGTTGACATTTTCCATGATAGTTTGTTCTCCCTGCATTATTTCTGTGACGATCCATTAACGAAGTGTTAATTGCAAGATTCTTGGCTTTTAAATCGTCTTACGTTATTATGATACCTTGTCTTACGTTATTAGTGATACCTCGTAAAAATGTCCAATACTATTATTTTTTATCCAAATTTTGTAAGCTATCATTGCAATAACTTTAATTAAGCTTTGTTTTTATGTAACATACAAAAATAATAGTGCGAGTTTCTTTGCACTTTGCTACAATCTTGGTATTATTGAAAAAAAAAATTTTTCCTATTCAATAAGACTTTAAAGTTATCTTAAATATTGCGCAATATTTTAATCGCATGTTTTAAGGTTAGTTCTTGGTATTACCCTTTTTTTGTATTTTTTGCAATAAGCTAACCGTGTTGCCATTCATATTCACTGTTGTTACACACCATAAAGAAAACAAAAGATTAAATGTTAATTGCCAATTAAAGTGTAATATTATATGCACACTTATAAAAGAACAAGATGTAATCTCCCCCAAAACACAGCATGAGTGAAATTTGATTTACCATAATTGAAATCAAAGTTCAATATTTTCAAACAGATTATATTAAGTCAATATTTAGCATTGTAAGACCTAAAATCAATACATTAATTACTGAATTTTTAACTCTTTCCTTGAAGTACTTAATTATATCAATATTTCAGTCTATATCAGCATTATGACCAAAAAAATATTTTATATCTGAAATTAGAAAATGTATTTTAATCAACAATAAAATTAAATTCACCTGCAATGGGCCAGAATCCCTCAAACTTTAGCAACAGAGTTAAATTGTAGCCTTAATTGAGGTTTGAATTTTTAAATCTCTTTTAACCAGTGCATTAATCACTGAAGTAGATCTGTGACAGTGGGTTTGAATCTTCTAGTCATTACAGTTTTAACAGTGTGACCACACTTTCTTAAGGTAAGTGATTATAATGATTTGCGTACACCATCCATTACTGATTTCTTTAAACCCCTTACAACACTAAATATCTTAAATGGATGTGTCTATCTTTCTCTCTGGCCAAATCCATTCTTCATTTTTAGGGAAAATTTCAAAATAAATACTGACTGAATGACAAAGAGTGATGACCATGATCAGAAGACACATCACGGTCTGCACTGGTTGCATGCGTGGGTATATTGAGTTGCTGCCAGCAATTAGCATGCTATTGGTTTATATTATAACATTGAAATCACAATGCAGGACTGACCTGTACGTGTGACGTTTAGAAAGATGAATGTTTCAAGGTAATCAGTACACATTATAATTATACACAACATTTACATTATAATCAAAATTAATGTACCACTAAAAATAATCTGAATCAGGGAATGCATATATCACTGTTAAAACAGGACTTTGAAAATTAAGACGGCAAACATTCACATCCTGTTTCTAAACAAATGAAACAAAACCACAGGTCGAAACAATAGTTGAATACAAGACAAAAAAAAATTTCCTATTGTTAATTCAGATTCTAGTAAACACTGGAAGACTCAATAAATCAATTTACGATGCTATCATAATACCAAATTGCATTTTCCATAAAACTATAAATAATAACAAATGCTTACTCAAGGGAGCTAGAGATGAGAGATATTGATTCAAAATAACCAGAAAGATATGGAAAAGATATACATTTCTCTGCCGATTTTCGTTGATTTCCACAGATATCAGGCTGTAACAATGTAACGATATTAGCACGAGACTGCGTGCGCGGACCATGTAAAGTATCATAGCCGATGGTAACCACTGCCAAACAGCAACACGTTAAGGATACAGGGATAAACGTTTTCTCGGAAATCAATCAAATTATGATTCACACAAGCAATATAATAAAAGAATGGGTCCAGGAAAAAAGATAATTTGCCTGAACAATTTTCATTTACATAAAAATGCCGATTTTTTTTCGTGATAAACTCCAGTATGTCATTTATGTGCAAAACACTTGAAACCCATTAGATGTTGAATCAGTTTTATTAGCAATTACATTGTTCCTGATTTAAATTATAGAGCCGCACTTCCCTAATGATTAGGTTCTTTGACATGGAACATGGAAAAATATTTACTGGACCGCATTATGGCAATAAAACAGAGCTTTGGTTAACAATGATGGACCTCCATCAACTTTAAGAATAAGTTAAGTTGGTGTTGCAACAAACCATCAAATTAATCAACATTTGAACACAGTAAAATACATCATCAAAGAACCACCAAAAATGGTAAATACAAATCACAAGAAAGACATTACTGATTTTCCTAAAAGCAACATTCACTGAAGAGCCAAGAAATACTGCTATTTTCAATGGCATAAATTTGCTTAAGATGAAAAAAACTAATTCATTTTGTCAGATGTGCACACAAAGAATCGTAATAACCATACAATTCACTTTTGAGAATATTTCAAGACAGATTTAAAACAGACTGAAATTATACTCATTTTGACCCTTTACATGTACTTGTGTTGAAAGTGTTTAGGGCCCCCTATGCCTCAGAAATGCTTTTAAAGCTTTATATTTGTGGTGTCTCGTTATTACGAGTTTCCTAAAAGTTACTAATTGGACAATTAC